GCTCTGTCTATCTTTTATAGTTGTTTTTGTTGTTTTTGAGACTTGTAATGAATTTTGTTATACAATTGTTAATTAACCTCAAATTTCTGTTCAAATATTACCACCTTCAGTAGTTTCCATGATTACTGTAGTTCATTCTCAAAAACGCTCTGTTAATTGACAATTTTCTGCTCTCAAGTACTGTACTGCAGTGGAGTTTTGCTAGCCAAGTGGTTGACACTTGGAACTTCAGATCTGTTGATCTGGGTTCAAGCTCTGCCATCTTCTTGTTTTCATGGACAAGAACCTTTTATCTTCTATGTCTCTCTCAGATATATGCATATAAATATGTGTGGCCTATGACTCACTGCTAGGGGTAAACCTCATGGGTGCCACTTGAAAATTATTGAAATTATTTAATTATATGGTAGACAATTTATAAAGTAAAACTCAACAAATTTTGCCTGTGAAGTTTGCTTTGTTAATCTTGTCTATCCTGTGTTGGATTTGCATTTTAATTTAGAGTTATTAGCGAGTCCTGCTTAATATTCCATGGATATTGGCTCAAAACCTGTATTTCTTGAATAAGACAATATTTTTATTAAAATAATTAACCAATTTATTTATTATTCAAGGCATTTTATGATATCTTTTGAGTGATTTTGACATGTACCTGTGTCCTTTGCTAGTGAATTTTACTGGTGAATAAGGAAAATGAACTGTAAAATAATTATTTGGCAAAACTATAGCAGTGGTCACAGTCATTGGAAGCTATGCTTAACACAAACTGCAAGACATCATCTATTTTTGGTCATGTAGATTTGTAGACAAACAAAGAAAAAGGTCACTATTTCAGGGCTCGAAAAAAGTCGTGTCTGGTATTCCAGGATGACTAGATTTTGTTGCTTGGCAAGTAACTTCAAACTTGCCTGATGGACATAGATCCAGGCAAGTCGAACCAAATTCCAACTAAATCATTGAGAGCTGCTTGCTCAAAGGACAACATCTTGTTCCTCTTGTACCCAGATACTGGGGCAGAAGTATTAAATACATGTATATACCTTACTGGTTCTAAATTTCACTGATCTTAGATTTTGCCAATTGTATTTTTTGCAATTCTAAAACAAATCCTGAAATTAAAGATGCAAATAAAATTTCTCATAAATTAAAGCACTCAAAATTTAATAACTGTAAAGAAAATTCAGATCACAGAAAAAAAAATTATTTGCGCTTGCGTGTATGTTAAAACTCTTAGTGTTGTACATGTAAGTTGCGGCTCATTGAGAAAATCCTACATTGTATATATGTACGTTGTGATAAGTCAAGTTTTTTCACACATGTTGGCCTTTCAAAAAGTGAGTCTTTAATTGCAGTGTATAGCCACCTTTGTATTAAGTTTAATACTAGAGGATGCGAAACGATAACCCTGCAAAGTTTTTTATGGGGGATTTGATTCATTTTTGGATGATGAGGGATTTTCCACCAATTTGTAAAGGGACTCAGGGAGTAAAGAAAGTCAGTTTGACAGTTTGCCATTTGGGCAAGCTGTATCTAGCATGTACTAGCCTAAGAGTCTCTTTAACTGCCCTGAAAAAAATATTTGATGAGCAGGATTGTATATCTGTAATTTGAACTCCCCAAAAAACTTAACCTGCCCAGCGGGCAATTAGTTAAGAACAGAATTCACTAGCCCAATAGCACAATCCCCTAGCCACAGGCTATTGGACACAAATTTCTTTGCACACTGGGACTTGAAATGAGACATAATTTTTGTTACAAGGAGTGACTTATAACTCATATTTTTGGGCCTCAAATGAGTTATTTGTATGAACAAATACAGTGTCTTCACTCTTGGGTGTTGCACTGAAATTTTTTGTGCAACATGTTGCTTGTTCAGCTTGTAATATGGGCAAAAATACTTTTTAACTTCTAATGGATTGTGACAACTTGAACAAAAATGTTGCCTGTTTTACTTGACCTTTCAGCTCTTGAAACACCTTGCAATCAGTTGCTGGGTCTGGTTTTATAATGTATGTGCTTTGTTGATAAAGTACACGTAAATTGTATACTGTAAATACAGTAGTTTTAAATACCCTCCTCTCCAAAGCACAGCCACAGACTCTTTAAAACTGCACAGCCTAGAAGATTGAAGACAACCAATGCTGTTGTCAATGAAGGCTCGTACAACCAATTGATTAATAAAAGCTTGACTTATCAATTAACACGTTTTAGTAAATTAACTCATTAACATGATAAATTGCCCTGACATGTTCAACTGGCTGCTACATTACCATCTACTGGCTACAGAAATGTAGCCGCCTTAAAATTCAAAAGTGACATTGTCTATTAAAGTACATGCAGCTGAGTATTTCATTCCGCGCTTAAGACCTGTTGTAGGGAAATGAACTTCAGATAGATAAGTGTTGTGATTCACAACTCTCTTGTCCTGTAGAAATTTATTGGTTAGAGTTTCTCTCCTCCTCCACAGGGAGGAAGGGGATCTTGGTAGAGTGACTTTGCCTAAGTGGCGTAATTAAGAACTCTTCAAAATTTATTTCACTCTTTCGTTTGTTACAGAAAGAATCTCAAGAATTGCCTTTATCTTTATCATTGACCACATCACGAGAAGCTTCCTCAAGTGTCTTCTTGTCCACATCAGAACTGGAAGAACTTGTTACACCAACAGTGGCTCCAGCCACCCCAAGCTATGATGCTGATTTGTCCATTACTGTCGTAAACCACGCAAGTAGCAGTGACTCGTACTCACAACCAAGGGAATACATGTTTTCATCAGTAATCCTTATACCTCCCAGTAATCCAAGCCAGATTCAGTCATCCCAGGGAAGTCAAAATGTTAGAGCTGGCACTTTCTCTGAGGGAGTGGTAGCAACAAAAGAGCCAGAGGTGTTCTCTTCAGTTTTAGACTCCGTGTAAGTAAACTTTACAGTGCAATGAATTAAAAAAATAATACCGCAAGGTGAAAAACAGATGAAAGGGTAAATTTAAAGAATGAAAATAATACACCATTAGTTTCCTCTATTTACCTTATATTATATAGCATAACGGCAGCTTTAAACCAAGCAGCAGAAGAGGAAACCAAACTGAAGGAAGAAGAGATGCCTTCATTTGATGAATTTAAAAGAAGAGTTTTACAGGAGGAAGAAGAGAAAAGTAAACAGCAGAGTGCTGAGAACTCAAGTGGAGCTGCACCCAAACCCAAGAAATTAAAGGAACGAAAACAAAGCAATTATGCCTTAGTAGACTGTGGTGCAAAGATCTTAGATCATAATCCATGTTTTGAACAGCTGTGGCCAGAAGGTTATTATGTTCAGCAACTTTCTAACATCCTATTACACATTCATCGCACTTGTTTTGTCTCATCGAGGCTTAAAGAACGAGATATATTACGCATATATCATGCCTTTTTCGCCTTCTTGTGGCTTAATGAGCGACATATTTAGTGTACAACACAATTATCATGCTTGTTTCGTCTAAGGCTTTAAAGAACAAGACATTGCACATATGACACCTATAATTGTCTTATTAACGAATCCCTTATTTTAAGTACCTTGTAGGTAGAAATTTCTTTCTTTTTTTTGGAATTCAGTCGATGCGAAGACAATTTTTAGCTGAATTAAACAGATACATTGTAGCAAATAGTGTGACATAAACTCTGTAAGTACCTTATGTGCTGTCCTTCATTCAATTAGGTTGAGATGTTGAGTCACTTTGGCTCAGAACATTACTGCCCACTGATCCTTCTGCGTGTGCACGGCAGCAGCATGATGGAAGAGCTGGAAGACCATGAAACAGATGGACAGGAAGAGAACGATAACAGCGACAGTGACAGTGATGTGACAGTGTTACCTCCTGATCCTAGTGCGAAGGTTGAAGATCAACCCAAGGAGCAAAATCTGTTGCAAAGAGCAGCTGATACGGTTTTTAATCTGGTCAAGAAATTCACTGGAAATGGGCATGATAACAAGCAAGATAAGGAAGGAGACGATAGTAAACTCGGCGCCCAAGACAATAAAATGACTGCTTCTGAGAAGGAATCCCAAGGTGAAAGCAAGGGCAAAATTGTCACTCTTGTTGGTCATGAAGAGCTCAACGAAAATTCACAAATGAGTGGTGACAATGCCTGTATAGTAAAGCAAGGTCACAGTCGTGATAGAAATGCTTCACAAGGAAAATGTGTGTCTGGTAATATAAGCCATGAAGATAGTCCACCTTGCAGCAAAGCAGATAACGAGGGAGAGACTCGTACATGCAGCCCTGCTCCGTCAGCATGCCAGTTGTTTGCTCAGTTATTAGGACACTACAGTCTGGGGTGTTTTGTGGGACGAATACTGTTTTCATAGAAAGAAAACTTTACAGTATCAATGAATTTAGCCACGAGTGGTGATTACAAGCGAGATTTAATTGTAGCTCATGAAAAAGATAAAGGTGAATCTTATGAAATGAAAGAAAGTCAAGACCAAGAGAACGTTCCTGCAGAAGAGGCTGGAGAGCCATCTACTGCTGACAACTCAGAAGAGAACAGTGCTGAATTAGATATCGTAGACCAAGAATTCCCTGTTATCTTTCCTGAAATGTCTTCCAGCGTTCTGAAAATATCAAATTGAGTTACCAGCTCAGGTGCATCGGGAGTTTCCGAATATGTTGACCCTTTGCCCGGAGTTTTGCAGCCTAGCGAGTCACTAAACATTTTCGTGTCAGAGGATGAGAAGAAGAGGAAAACTGATGAAAAAACCCCCTCATTAGCAGAAGTGTCAGTTGTTACGTCTTTACGTTTAAATGCCACTCTGCCGGCTTCTTCGTCCCAAGTCCCAAGTTCCCAAGTGACAGTAATTAAGGATTCTTTTGTTGATGTTCCACAAGGTGAATCCAAGTTACACGGTAAGCAGGAGTTAAATAAACAACCTGTGCAAAGCATTCCTGACGGACCGTCAACTGTGTTAGGAAGTGAACAGGCACACTCTGTGACAAAAGGTACTTCTCAACAGCCGTTGCCTTTGAATATGAAGGATATAAGTTCCAAAGATGAAGAGAAAGTAGAAGACAATGTAACTGTTACTGATGAATTAAACGGTAGCAAGGGTAAAGATTAAACCGAAGCTACACCATCGGAATGCAAAGGGCCAAATTCAATTCACATTATGTCGCAATCTACTCCAGATATTGACGTCTTGGAGACAAAACTCACTGACAAAGATGGACGAGAGGCTACTGCTCAATTACCTGAAGAGGTAAATTTGGAAAAAGAGCCTATACATAGTGCCATTGAAGCGTCAGAATCAACCAAAGCAACTGATTTTTCAAGCGTAAATTTAGAGCCAGTTACAACAGAAGGTGAAGGATTGAAACCAGATTTGGACAACCAGGAGCCGGGTATTGAAAGCACAAAATCGACATCCAAAATGTTGGAATCTGAAAATGTGGATCCAGTTATTCAGCCTACCATTCCTCCTAGTATTGACATTACTGACACTTCAGGCCCTGTTCTTCCATTACCAGCTCCTCCTGTTATTGGAGACACAAGCTTGCCTAGCCATGAGTTTTCAACTGCAGCATCGTCAGCAGAAGCTACTCTTGATACTTCAATCCTCAGCAAAGCTCAACAAGCCGCTGTTTCTTCTTCAGCTGGACTATCGTCAGGGGTCGGGTCAGGAGGGCAGAAGGAATCCATATTTGTTCGTCTTAGTAACAAGATCAAGGTTCTGGAACAGAATTTGAACATGAGTACCCTGTATATGGAACAGCTGCATCAGAGGTAACTTTTACAAATCTCTTCAATCTCTCGTTGATACAAGTGGTTACAGCACCATGTTCTCTTTAAAGCTTTATTTGTGTGGGCCCAGGCTCCGGCCCCAAAAGGGAAAAGGCGGAAAAAAAAAATCAGCAAATGAAGTGGCGGAAATGACCTTTCCCACACCCCAGTCCATGTTTTTTTGTTGTAGTTGTAGTTGTAGTTGTTGTTGTCTTTTTCTTTTTTTGGCTGTTTCGACGCGTTTTTTGCCTTTTCCTCCACTACGGAGCCTGGTCCCAGGCTAAAGCTACACGTACATGTACAACCTGATGGACAAAACTCTTTAGATGGTTCCATCTATTAATTTTTTTGAATTACGCGCTACATTACCATCTCCTCTAAACATCTAATAAAATTACCCCAACCCCTCCCCTATTCAGTGGTGGTTTGGCCTTTAAACCAGTATATATAATTCTGGGCCCAGTTGTTCAAAGGCCGATTAGCACTAAACCCAGGGTTAAATTTTTCTTTTTTCGAAAGCATTTTCTCGGATAATTTGCTCTGTTGTTTTTAAGACCATCCCAATATCAACTTGTTGACAAAAAAAATTAAACTGAATTTACTTTTTAAGCTTTCATATCTGAATTCATATTTCGCACTAACCCTAGGTTATCTTAACCCAGCTTTGAACAACCTGGCTCTGGGTCCAGTTCCTGAAAGGTCGATTAGCGCTAATCCAGGATTAAAATTTTGTTCCATTTTTGTAATTTACCTTCCTACGTATTGCTTAGAGTAGCCTTTTGTGTTATCGTTACTGTATCTCGGGGTTAAGGCTCAACAGTATTTTTTTAGCTCGAGTTGCATGTCCTTAGACAAGAAAACCTTGCTTAAAACTAGGCTTAACCCTGGGTTAAACTTAACCAACTTTCGAGGAACCAGGCCCTAGTATTACTCAAAAAATTGTTGGAGGAGAGGAAGGGGGAGTAAGACAATTAATTTAAGCAAGGGGTTTCATTTTAGTCCGAATGACAGGAAAAATAGGTCTTTATTCAATTTTTATCAACCAGTTTAGATCGCAATTGTAGCTGATCTCTCAAAGCGTTTACCGTAGTACATGACCAGAGTGAAATAAAAGTAGTTTAGAGTTCTCGGAGAAAGTGCTAGGGACAATCCCATAACTTCGTATCTTTTAGTTCCTTCTTCAAAGAAGTTATGTTTATGTAGCCTTAAATTCAGACGTTACTGAGGGAGTCAAAACGACTCAAAATAGTTGTCTGAAATTCAGGCTTCTGTTTAAGGTCATTGCGAAGATTCTCCTCCCCCCACCCACCCTCTTTTTTTTTTTTTTTTTTTTTTTGGGGAGTTAAACAGGTTTAAATCTTCAGAACCGAGCTTGTGCCTTGTGTCTTTTCTTGTTAGAATGCACGTTGTGTTTGTCTGGTTTTGATCTTATCAAGAGAAACAAAGTTGATGCTTTATGATGCTAATAGGAGTTGCCTTATTTCCGGTCACAGATACCGAAAGTCAGTGGAAGAATTACAGAAGAACTCAGATAAGAAAGTTGCCCTGTTGACCAATGCTACCAAGAAGGCAGAGGCTATTGTATGTATAATCTTTATAATTCTTAGTGTTGGGAAAAAGTGGTGAGAATTACGAAGCAATCAGTAATTCTAACCTTTATCGAAGCGAGTGTTGCCTACACAACATGTTCGTAGCTTAACATTGATCTGAGGAAGTTGAACCTTCACAAAATACGATAAACACCCGCTAATACATTTGTGAGAACCTGTGGATTAAGGACCTGCTGGCAGAAATTTGGCATTTTAATACCCAAAAATGTAAGAACCTGTTTAGCCAAGCAAAATCAAGCAGGTTCTTGTATGTGTCTTACAGGTAAATACTGTAAAGATAAACATTTTTACCAAGGAGCTTGACTTCGAGATTGCCAAGTGATATTTCAAGAAGATACTCACACCATGCTGTAATTACAGATAGACGTATTACTGTAATTCCTCCAACGAAAAAAATGTTTATAAAAAGTACAGTGGTAATTGTCTTCATGAACCTTACATGAGGGGCTGCAATGTACAGTTGTGAATAAACTATTAATAATCACAGGAGTTCAGGCTTCAGGAGTAATCATTGATCGTTTATTGCGACAGTACTGTTTCGTATGGTCCGAAATTGTAGGACCACACTCATCAGGCAACTCCAACGATTGACCGTTGAAATTAAAAGCTGGCAGTAAAATATAGGGATGCGTTAAGAGATAGTATCTAGGTAACAGATGTGTCTTAGTTACGTTACTCTAGGGTTCTGAAGTACATATCTGTTTCTGTGGGGGCATGAACTCGCTAGTTCGTTTCGCCTGTTTAGGCTACAAAGCTCTTTCTTACAAATGATGATAGACTTTTCATAAAGACATAGATTACATTTTTTGCCAATGTTGCTATAGGCTTTACATTTCTTTAAAACTTTTATATCTGGAAAGATTTCTTAGAGTCTTGTAAAGTCCAAATATATTTTGAGAGTTCCGTTTCAATTCTTCTGTTCGAGCGTCGAAAGGAGGACTGATAAACACTGTATATTTAAGGACCAAACTCTCAAGTTTCTTTATTTTTCTAGTAGTCAACAACTATATCTCCTTCATCGAAATGAAGAACCTAATAAAGAACGTTCTTAGACTAAATTACCAATAACTATCCCAAAATAAAAGAGCCTTGTTTGCCAGGCCTCAAATAATGTAGGTTCTTATTAGTTGGTGATAGCTCTTCCGTGCATTTTCTACCCCTCAATTCGCGAAAATGAACGTTCACAGGAATTTTGTTTATCGTCCTCTTAAAAATTATCCGTTTGAGATTGGACGAGATTAGTACAATAAAAATAACCTGGCGTGAATGCCCTACTTTGCAACACACCGATTTCGACTGAGCGTGCTCCTTGTCAACGATCTTAAGTGCTCAACGAATTAAAAGCTATGGAACAGGCTCGAGTTGGATGAATTAAAGGGGCTGTGTCACGGCAGTCCAGTTCATTTTGATTAATTTTGCCAATTACTCACCCTCAGTCGCTATGGAACTAAAAGTAGGCAAAGAAATTACATGTAAATGACAAAATCAATCATCCGAGACAAACAAATGTCTCCCGAGTATTATTTTTGAAGTTGCAAGCAGCAGGGATCAACTTTGAAAAATTGCTAGGCTGAACAGTTTTCAAAAACCCTAATTTCAATCCGCTTCAATCTTCTTCAGTTTTGCCCATCCGTGGCATTTTTTGTTTCCGTTGTGTTATTTTAACCTTCCTTTAATGTTTTAAGCGGTTATTTTTATGTTTCTTAATTTAACGGGCATTTTGTAATTTCCTAATTTGGCTGAATTTCCTGACACAGCTCCTTTAACTGCTGTGAAAGACAGTTTCAAACTTACTCCCACCCAGATGCTCTCTATTGGCCCGTCACTTGAAGATAACTTCAACACTGGTCTAACGATGGTAGAACCTTTAGCGCAACCATTTACGTTTGATGGCGTTCGCCACGTTCGGTATACGTTCTACAGTGTAGAAGATTTCCTGTGCAAGTGTCTTGTTTACATGCACATATTAATCGAACCAATGTTACTTCCTTTTAAATGTACACTTTACACATTTCCTTCTACAGATCAACAACCAAAAGGAACAGATCACTAAACTGCAATCAAAGCTGGATAACCTGACCAACGCAGTTGGTGATATGAAAGCCCGTATGGATCCACTCAATAAGGAAGTGATGGAGCGCCATGTTATCGGTCTTTGCATTGAAATAGTCTTAATTCTTCTTCTGTTTATACTGTTTGCAAAGAGAAACAATAATCAGGTGACTTCTAACTCACCCGGGAGGTCAGCGCACCTTATGAACGGTCATGGCCCCCCTCGACTTGCAATTGAAGATAGCAAACGCAGCAAAGCCACTGTCTTGTCTGAAGGTGAGTACTACGTTCGTGCACTAGGAATATTCATCTGGCATTTTATCAACTTGATATCAACATGAAATGTCTCCCCACATACCTCCTTACGTTCTGCTTAGTAGTGAAAAATATCAACTTGGATTACTTTTTAGTTTGCTATTTCTGAGTTCCAAAAACTCTCATTTTCAAAACGAGGCTAAGTGACATTGTTTTCTCGTGAAAATGAGTTTAAACTGCATGACAATGAATATTATGTTCATATCAATTATACTTCAGAACGCATTTATGCAACAAGAGGTTTTCAGAACCCTTTATTTGTGATATCGAAGCAATATATTTTGTTCATTCATTTGTTCATTTTTACCACCACATTGCAAGTTACTGAAACATCTATTGTCGGTCCAATGTGTACAGTGTACAAACGTATTTATTTTTTTAGTTATTCATTTTTTTTTATTTTAGTTCCTAGGTTAAGTGGAAAAGAACAGCTTCTTTTCAGTTTTGTCAAGATGGCGGAACCGGAGAGTATCGGAGGCGGCACTGATACAGATCACCATGACAACAAATTAGTAAAGGCAGGTTTTCACACAATGCAGTTGTGTATTTTATAATTGAATGGTGAAAGCTAATCCTTGATGTTTGAATTTAAATGTTAAATGTTAGTCCACTAGAAGGTTTCTAGAGTAAGCTCGAATTATCATTCGCCAGTTCTGTTTATTTCCAGAAGGGGAAAGAATAGGGTGTATACTGTTCCATTGCAAAGACAACCGCCTCTCGTCGCTCTCCGTCGCTAGGAAATAGGGAGCTTTAGCATCGACGACGGCAACTGCAGGGAAAACGTCAGTTTTAAAATGAATTCCCGATTTTTCAATCTTTGTCGCGTTTACTCCAATTTGCTGAAAATGGCAAGTTTAGGCGAATTTCCCTGGAGTTGACCGCACTCAAGTTTAGAGAGAGAAAAAGAGATTCGTCGTCGCTTGTTCACGTCCTCCATAAAACTTGCAATTAGGCATTTTCACGTCGTAGTCGTGCAAGGACGGTAAAGAAATGTACAAAAAAGCGTGATGCACGTGCAAAGTTGTTGTTTTGCGTAATAAAGCTATTGCTTTTTTGACGTCCTATTTGCCGTCGCCGTCGTCGTTGCTAAAGCTCCCTAGTTTAAGATACGGAGACTACGGACTACGAACTACGGCTGGACGAGCGTTGTCTTTTGTTTGTAGCACTGAGTTGAGTCGTGCAAATATAGAACGTTAAGATTGCACTACAGACAGTAGACTACGAGAGAAGAGGCGGAGAGGGAAACAACACGCAAAGATTTTCTTGTTTTCATCACAGTTCACAAAAATGCAAGTCAGTTTTATATGTGATCTTATCTTTAGATCAATGAACAAATTCTTCCATATTTGAAGGAAGCAATTACGTCGGGTGAAATTGGTGAACAAAGTTTTGGTTACACAGGTTTTATTTTTTTCGCCCATGAATACTTATGTCAAATACTAAAGAAATAGACAGAAATAGTATAATAGCTCATTTATTAGATTCTCCAACGTACTGATCTGATATAGTTTGAAGTATTGAAATGCCGAGTTTCGATTGTCTCGAAGATGTTTACATCATTTTCATTCAGCAAATGCGATACAAAAACTCGCATAAACAAAGGTTACACAAGTAGAAAGACACATTAGTCAGTTCGAACAAGCATTGAAACTTTTCAAGTGCGAAGAGAAAGTAAATTACCTGCATGATTTCTCTTCTCCTAGGCCGTCAATCTGAATTCTGCTTATCAACAGCTTAGCTTATTTAAATATGAGCTTAGCTAGATAAAAATGTAGTCATTAAAAGCGTAAATCTGAGCAGAAATTAGACACAACTTACATATTTCGCTTCCCTCTCACTTAAAGCAGGTGAATTGAAAACTTTTTTACGAAAAGACGAGATTCTTGAATTACCGAGACGGCAAAATACGAGCAAAATAATCAGTGAAAGGTTCCGGCAATTCTGCTTTTTACAAAAAGATCAACTCTGCTACTTGAAAAGAGCAGAAAATTAACTTTCTGCATTTATTTTCATAGAACAAAATGCAAAATTGTTACCTTTTTGTTAATGCTAGTCGATTAGGTGAGAAGTTAAAAAGGTAGCTTTTTGAAAAAAAAAATAGGAGGGTATTTTAAGCTTTCGAGTGAAAATATTTTAACGTCAATATTGTCCGCTTTTCATCCATTTCTCACTTTACCAAACAAAACTTTAAAGCGCCAAAAAGGTACCTTTTTTTCAGTTTGAAGCGATCTCTTCAAAAGCGCGAAAAAGGTACCTTTTCTTACGGTTTAGAAACGTTCCTATCAAAAGAGCAAAAATGCACCTTTTTGCGGTTACAAGCAAATCTCATCAAAAGCGCGAAAAAGGCACCTTTAAAAATAAATGATGTTTCAATTAAAATCCTACTGATTGACAGATGTCAAGCAACCGTTGGCGCCGCTAACGAACGATACACAGACGTTTTTAGGGGACTCTATGTCCCGTTTCTACAATCGAATTTCGCAGTCCCGAATCTAATTAAAACGAGCAAAACCCATCCTAGACTGCCCTAGAAACACCTGTGTGGGAGGCTATTCCTCAGTGGCCCCAGCTATTTAACAGAAATGGCTCGGACGCGCAATATTATAATTAACGCGTCCTGCATTATTGGCATATTTTCCGAGCTACGTACGTGGACGAGGGTCTACTATGGGGAATCATCGGACTAAAAAAAAATAGCTGGCTCCTTTTAGCCCATCAAAATTGAGAAACTAGACTGAAGAGATCCGAAAATACTGGCTACCATCCAAATGGATGAAATAGCTACTGGTTCTTTCAAACTAGGTGCATGTGGAGGACCTAAGCAAGCCGTCCCATTTTTAAGCGTGGAACGAAGACTTAAAAAAAGTCCTATATGAAAAGTCGAACCATTTTAATTATTTTTAATCAGATCCTACGTCGATCTACGACAAACAGCAGAGAAGTGTTTTTTCTTTTGAGTCTAAGCTGAGCGGGTTATCATAATAACTGTTTTGTTTCGTGGGTGCCTTTTTTCACTTCTGAACGATGGAATCCACTTCGTATTCGTTGAGTCGTCTTATCCCATATTTAGCAGAAAACAATCGCACGTTTCTTTCTGAAAAGCCTCTTGTTACTTCTGGAAAGTTTTGTCCGAGAATTTCACTGACATGTTTGTACGTTTTATTGTCTTCAATGAGATTCCTTATTAAAGTAACATTGCTTTCCATTTATTCCGCCATATTTGTCTCTCGACTAGTGGGTCAGTCAATTCAAGCAAAACAAATGGCCCCAAACGGTTGACATCTGTCAATCAGTAGGATTTGAAACGGCTTTCAAATATAGTTTGAAAACGACATTTATTTTTAAGGTTCCCTTTTCGCACTTATAAGAACATCGCTTCCAACCGCAAAAAAGTACCTTTTTTGCTCTTTTTGATAGAACCTTTCTAAACCACAAAAGGTACCTTTTTCGCGCTTTTGAAGAGATCGCTTCAAACTGAAAAAAAGGTACCTTTTTCGCGCTTTAAAGTTTTGTTTGGTAAAGTGAGAAATGGATGAAAAGCGGACAATATTGACGTTCAAATATTTTCACCCGAAAGCTTCAAATACCCGCCTTTTTTTTCTAAAAGGTACCTTTTTTAACTTTTACCTGATCGACTAGCATTAACAAAAAAGGTAACAATTTTGCATGTTGTTCTGTAAAAATAAATGCAGAAAGTTAATTTTTTCTGCTCTTTTCAAGTAGCAGAGTTGATCTTTTGTAAAACAGCAGAATTGCCGGAACCTTTCACTGATTCAAAATGTTCTCCGTAGTCCCGACTACGCGAAACAGCTCAACAACTCACCGTAGCCGCAGGACTACGCGGGAAAAATGAACAGTCACGTGGTTTTGATCATGCGCAATAGCATGTTTAACCGTAGTCGTAGTCCGTAGTCGCCGTATCTTAAACTCCCTAATAAATGTCCCGACTGGACGGCGTGGAACGATGTGAGTAGGCTGTATTTACAGGATAGTAGGATTTCTTGTCTCTGATTTCATGCTGCTTCCTCACACGACAAATATTACACTACTTTGATCAAGCTGGAATTTCTTTCGCAGGGAGCAATTCTAAAATAGAGACCTTTAGATTTGTGAGCATGGACGACTCAGAGGTTTTTTTGTCCCTTCTCAGAAAATAGTAATCCTGAAAAGTTTTGTTGCACTTTTTTACTAGAAAAGTTAGAACGGTTATTTTTATTGAAGGAGTTTGAGCCCTCTCCCGATCGCAGAATGATAAAACTTCTAACATTTGATAACTTATTTCCGCCTCAATGACATTCTCGTTAAAACGCGTAGTAGAATGACCATGGCTGTCACGTTTTCCCGCCAAAATGATGTTGGCTCACGCCTCGCACTTCGTGCCATTGACAAAACCTCTTCCTTGTAGTCGTCCTCGTGTTAGAATCTAACGGTCACTATTGAGAAACACTCTTAATCTAGAAATGATTACTAACTGTAGTACTCTATTTCTTGTAGGGTAATACCTTCAATACCAGTGAGAGTAAGAAGAAACGTCATCGCAAGCGTAAAAGGGTCCAGTACACCTGAACTTCTACCTGACAGTCCTAGCTATGAAACGTCCAACGGACCCGAGCCTTCCCTGAAAGTCATTCTAGTGCTGACGCGCCTAGGTCAGCCGGTGTTGTCAGTCGTACAGCTGGGCTGCTTTTCTCGAGTGCTCGTGGGTTCTTTGGTGGCCTTCACAATCCATGGAAACAATCAAAACCTTCGACTGTCCATAGTGATCCCAATATATCCGCAAGAAGCGAACTCAGCCAAGCGAGCAAAAGCTCGCCGAGACCAAATAATCCGGGTTTATCCTGAGCAAAGAGTCTTGAGTTAGTTCCAGAGAATACATCAATTCAAAACCTGCACCACCACCACCAGCACCGACCCTTTCGTCCGAGTTTGGCGTGATGTTGAAGCGCCCACCAGATTGTTATTACCCTAAGAAAGGCCCCGCAAAGAACATTTTTCCTGGTCCCGTGAAATATGGGAAATATGGCGTGTTAGATTCTCAGTTGGCTTAACTAAGGCCCTCGAGAACCTCACGCATTCCTCCTCCATGCTATTGAAAGTCCGTTTTAAGGATGACTGCAGTGTGAATTCGTTTGGTTTTCAGGGGTGCTGGTAGAAAAAATACTTTGTGGAGAACCGTCAAAGTTATTGAACCTTTCTTGGTTTACAACCAAAGGCTCGTAATTGATATACAAGTACAAAAATATCTTTGTTAAATTTTTGTGGAAATACTTGACGAGAACTCCCAAATCCAGTCGCAGCTTTATTCTTCTTGGCAAATCCTCGGTTGCTTTTACAGAACTACTGTAAATGCTTGTATTTTAAGGCGCATAGTTCTGTCGTTTACTTAAAAAACGTAATTTGCCCTATAAAGACTGCTGCGGTCTTGCCAAAAATATGGTGGTCAAGTTGTTCCACTTACGGTTATGGTGAAATAGAATATTACTAAGAATAAGAATATTGTTATCCTAAGGCAGATTTAAAAAGGAAGAATAAATAGAACGGGTCGTTTTGCTTGGTTTAGGAGTCATGGTCAGAGAGGTTGTCTTCTTTCAAGAATTTTGTCAAGCGTGCGACGTTTCACAACTTCCACAAGCATTTTTATTGTCGCACCATCTTCCAGTATATTTTCCGAAATCTGTTATGCCCTTTCTTAGAGAGCCCAAGTAGCCGGCTTTTTTACAACCCTCGTTTTTGACTCACGCTTAAATTGTCTCACTAGTTCGCTCTCCAGTCCAATTATGATATTTAATTTGTGCCGGTACAATCAAAATAGCCCTCCTTAGGAAAAATCCTAAGGGGTTGCTGTATACACAGACTAGACAATTGGTTATTTATCAGTTAGCTGGTATGAGAAAAAAGATCTTGCACTACCTGTTTTGCCTTGTGCGACATGTCAGACATGTGATCAAGCACATGTGTAATTTGGATTAACCTTTTAGCACACAAAGATACCACATAATGGTCTCCCTTTTCCTCTAATTTGAATCATTAGGCTGAATAGCCTGTCCTGTGGGGAACAGGGAGATTGCTTTTCTCGAGATTCTCGGCGTATCACTCAGAAATGACCACAAACTCAGATAAAGTTTAAAAGCCTTTAATTTATTTTAAAGAATGACATCAAATATATAGAAACTGACAAAAGCTGGACATTAGTTTATGAAATAGGCCACTGTCGATATATCCATTGACGTCATGTCCTGAGAACACGAGGAAGAAGAGTGATGACTTTCGTTTCTTCTGGTTTTCTTGGCCTGGCTATGAGTTTGAATAATAGCACGATATATCAAAGTGACCCCATTCATACCGAAGCCCCTACAATATTTTATCTTACTCCTGCCATTCAAGAATTTATTATTATCATTATAAAATGAAGCAATATTATTATGTAAATACGCAATATGTATTAAATGAATAAATGCATAGTTGTATAAATTAACCATTGAAACGTTCTTGCTGGTGCTGACTTCGTTACTGGCGTATGAGCCATTAAATAAAAGAATTATATAAATTATGCAGGTCGAGGAGGGGTATCGGATGAACGCCGAGGTGGATAACTTCTTTCCCGTCTCTAACCCTGATTGTGTGCCTTTAGAGAATAGTGTGTTATATATACTGACTTCCAAACCAGACCTTAGCTGCAGAAATTTTACAAAGGTTCCTGTATTGCTTATTGTATTGGCAGCATTGGTCGGAAATGGAATGTTATTTTTTTCCGAACTGCCCTGATAATCCGAATCTTCACTTTTCATACCCAGACGTGGGTTTCCCAAGTGATCTGCTAATGACACTATTTGAAAGAACAGAAAAATCTTAACTATAATCACTATAATTATTATTCAACACCAGCAAAGGTCTCTACAATAATTAAGCTTTTTTTCTTATACTACCGCAATATTGTTATGGTGAACCGAAGTGCCTTTTATCACCTTACTCCTGATGTCACCTTTTGGAGTCAATAGTTCGTTTCTCCAACATGACATGACATGTTTATAGCGAGTGGCAACGTTGTAATCTAACCTAGCCGATTGAAATGTTCGTAACATTGAATTGTAGCCACGGAATTATGTGGTAGGTTAATATCTGGCGTCTGAGGAACTCTGAAGGCAATGATCAGTCACACTATACCGGAAAGCGACACGAAAAATGATACCGGATTTTGCTTTTGTCAGTTCATTTAGAAGAACGGTGATTTTCCGGCTATTTCTGTTAAGGAAAGAAACTGCGCCGCCGCCGATCTTGAAAAGTGGATCATCACATATCGGATGGGTTTCTGCCACTTTTCGTCGCAGTGTGAACATGTTTTCAGGTGAAATGAGTAGGAGGGAGCATAGGCTGGGACCCACCTGATATGAAAGTATATTTTTAGGAGAGAGCACTGTAATTTAGTTCACCAAACTGGCCTCTCGGCCAACCGACCGCTCTGGTGCGATGTTCGATACGTGTGGACGACTTGTTCCAATTCTATACGGTTGTCGTTCATACTACCGGATACATTTTCATGTCGACACGAAAATCTATTTCCAGTATAGTGTGGACAGACTAAAAAAAAAGTAAAAGAAGCAATCCGAACTACTAACAACTTAATAGTCATTTGCAGAGAATGAACCGATTTTAGTCCCTACAATTGATATATTACCAGTGCTATTCAGTATTTTCTCGATGTCTCTGAAATGAAATTAAATATTATTAGGTATCTTATTGTAACAACCCATTAAACAGTTGCGCTTGTCATCTCTGTCCTGTTCCTTGGTGGGCAAGGGAACTCCCATATGAAAATGACCGGGTTGCTCGTCTCTCTTAAACGTAGACATCGCAGTTTTGGTCTCACTTTGGCTGTGCAAGACAAAAAGCCACTATTTTTAACCATAAATGTATCACTTTACCCCCGCAAACGGACGTAACTTTGTTGGCCAACAACTAGTTCAAGATTGTTGGAAGTTGTTGCGTCCGTTTGCACGTAGCTTTAGGGTTGTGCGTAAAGAAATATCTATATAGAAAAAGAAGTTGTCTTAATGAGTTAGAGACTGTTCTACTTTGGCTGCTTTTGTGATCGTAACCGAGGGAGACTGGTTATGAATACCGGCAAACAGTGAAGATGAAAACAACGGTGTTCAGTTTATGGGTATAGTTTCTTGGTATTGCAGACGGTGCAACTGAAATTATTAATCTACTTATCCGTCGAGCATTCCCCTCATGCTTTCATATTGCAGCTTCCCCCCCCCTCCTTCCCCGAGACCCCTATAACAATCTAAAGAAAAAAAAGGGTGCTTTGACAAAAATTAAACCATAAACCCCCCTACAGAAATTACAGCTTCGTATCAAGAGTACTAGCTTTTACTGGTGTTAGTGGCGGATGCCTCACGGTAACATGGCTGGTTCTGATCCAGGAGTCTGAAATAATAGTAAGGGTATCTTCTGTCATCATCTCTTCCAGTATCGGTATTAGTTGAACGAATGAGGGTCGTTCATTTGGATCCTCCTTCCAGCAGTCCATCATCAATTTGTATCTGTTGAAAAAGGAAGCCATAGTTTAAAATACCACTACACAAAGATATGTCTCCGTTTACTTTGAATATTGAAGACACTTATGTTCTATGGGCTCTTTTAGAATGGGGCAACGTAAAGGAAAGAGGTGCGCTGCAGTTTCCACTCCTTGGAAAAGGCTGACAATTTTAGAAAAAAAAAAACTGTTTGAAGGACTATGAAAGTATTTCTTCATCGTACCTCTTTTCGGGCGTCTTTTATTATTTCTATTCTGACTTACATTTCATCGCTGCACGTGTTGGGTTTCTCCATCCGATATCCAGATTTAAGTAAACTGCATAGCCTCATAGGGCTTATCCCAGGGTATGGAGTCTGCCCCCTAAAATAAAAAAAATAAAGATCAATGCTGTCTTATCAAAGATTATCAGGCTTTTCTAATTTTTCATTTTGAAATCGCTGGTGATCCCTGCAATCTGATTAGCTCTCAGCAGAGTGATTTATTTACGAATCACACAATCACATCTGTTCTAAACCACGTCGAACCGTCGCACCTTTGCTTGACATCGCATCATTTCTGTTTCGAATACAAAATGAGCTGTAAAAGTCCTTTTGTTTTCGCTTTTCAACAGGCTATTTGATCTGCCCATAGGCAAGCCCTTCCTTATGGTTCTCGATCTAAGGCACGCCTCTTGACCGCTACGTAAGAGCTGCCATCCTTCACTCTATCCAGCATTCCCGCTCGAGGTCTTCCAGGTGGTCTCTTTCCAGGTATTCTTCCCTCAACAAGACGCCTAAAGTCGTTTCCGTGGGATGCGTTGGTCTATGGAAGCATAATGGCGTTCTATCTAGGTTAATGGAACAAAACAAAACAAAACATCCGCTTGCTTTATCCAGGGTCGAACCCAGGGTTACAAAGTTCGATAAAGTTCCAATGTTTTAATCCAAGATGAAAGTTTAATATTCCAAGATGCTTTTAATACGGTTAAAAATTAATTGCAATGTGTTTCCAAGGTCTAAAAGTTAACATAGTTCCAATGATTATCCCTGATTCCAAGGTATAATAAGTTTACTCTTGTCCTGTTGCACCGTCGCACCTTGCTTTATATCGCATCATTTCTTTTTCGAATACAAATGAGATGAAAAAGCCCTTTTGTTTCCGCTTTTCAACAGGCTATTTGATCTGCCCACAGGCAGGTCCTTCCTTATAGTTCTCGATTTAAGGCACGCATTTTGACCGCTACGTAAAAGCTGCCATCCTTCACTCCATCCAGCATTTCCGCTTGAGGTCTTCCAGGTGGTCTTTTTCCTGGTATTCTTCCCTCAATAACTAATGAGACATGATCACCATGTCGTAGGGTTTGACCAAGCCAGACTCTCTGTCTTCTGTTGATAACAGATATGATGGCACTCTCCTCACCGTCACGCCTCAATACTTCTTCGTTACAGACTTTGTCAGACCAATATATGTTTAAAACCTTTCTCCAAAGCCACATCCCACAGCTCTCCAGCCTTCGCACGTCCTCTTTCTTTAAGGTCTATCATTCGACTCCATTCAGAAGAGTACCCCAGATGACAGTCTCTATAATTCTCTTCTTCAGGCAAAGGCTAGCGCGCTGAAGGCTTTTGTCAGCAGTTCTTTTTTCTTAGTAAACGCGTTTTCGGGCTATTCTCGATCTAATTTATTTTTAACAGGATCCATCCTGTGTAATGAGGCTCCCAAGGTAGTTAAAGTGCGACGATTCTTGACTTAATTGTTTACCCTCAAGAAAGATCGTGAATTCGTCACCAGGCCTCTTACAGATTTTCTTCACCTTAGTCTTCTTAACATTGATCTTCATATCATATTCCCCCGCGCTTTCCTGCATTTTACCCATCATAAGTTGCAGACCTTTAACTTAACTGGCTAAGGTTGCTTGATCATCCGCAAAACTCACTGTCTTAATGAGATGACCTCCCACTTGAATACCTTCATTCACACCACTTAAAGCGCCAGCATCTCTTAGCATAGCTTCAGAATATATGTTAACGAGTATGGGGGATAACGAGCTAACTTGTCTGGTGTCACGGCCAATCACTGCTGGTGCGGACTGAATTTTGCGATTTCAAAATGGCTGTGATAAAGTGATAATTTAACTTCATGTCGTGCAATTTTAGTCTGAAATCATACTTCTGATCTCAAATCGAACTCGAGCTCGAAATAACGCGCATGATTTCAGACCAAATTGTTCAATGACCATCATGTAATATCAATTTACCAACCTCCAGGAGGGATTAAAATAACGTAATGTACAAGTTTACCATTACGGAGTATTCATTTTGCCAAGTGACACGTGATATCAGGTCAAGTTGTGGTTAAGGGTATGACTTATAGGCTGAATTATTATGAGCCTGCGCTCGTCCCCGGAAAAGACGGCAAGGAGAGGGCGGAAGTTTGCCTATTATTTTTTCTAGCTGTGAGCAATCACAACATTATGTCAGAATAGCATCTTTTATAAAGCGGTTCGATTCTCCCGTGACTGCTATCCTAAAACAGAACAGTAATTTTTTCTCTATCTACTTTCTCGGGGGATTCCCCTCAATTCCCTCGGGTATAGGAAAATGACTAGAGTATTATTCTACTAGCATCAGGTATACAAAGATTTATAAAAGCAGCTTACCCATGGTGGCTAGTTCCCACAAAACAACTCCAAAAGACCATCTGCAATAAAAGGAAGCAGATAAAGAAATTGCAAGAATTAACTTCATAGAAATATCAATTTTGTTTATCTCGCCCCATGGATGGTAATCCAGGACATTTTTGCTTGGAGTCATGGACTTTGAATCCGGAATCCAGCTAACTGTGAAATTCTGGAATCTAGGCCTTTTGAAATCTGGAATACACTGAGTTGGAATCCGGAATCTAGTATCTGGAATGCGGGATGTGGAGCCTGGAATCTAGGATTCAAGATGGTCTCTGATTAACTTCATCGGCTCAAAGTTTCTGTTTATGTGTCTTATTTTCAAGATTCACGCCTGGAACAGGCTAATGTTTTCCAAACACTTGAGTATTTCTTTAGAGATAGAGTGATAACCGCTACTGTAGACAGTGTCATGATCAAAATTGTGCTCTTTCTTTTCAGACAGTTCTAAACAGTACATTGCAGGGTCTTTGTTATCTAAAACCTCAACTTTACACTGCATCACAGGAAGCCTAAGCTCGGCCTAACTGTGACCTCGTTAACATATACTCACACGTCAGTCTTGAAAGTAAAAATGCCGCTTTCGAACGCTTCAGGTGCCATCCATTTCATTGGTAGCTTGTGTACGCTCGTAACTTCGTATATTTCACTCTCATTTGCGTGGCGTAACAAACCAAAATCAGCAATCTTCACCGCTCTGTCCTCACCAAGTAGGATATTACGGGCTGCCAGGTCACGATGAATGAATCCTTTGCTGGCCAAGTATTCCTGGCAGAGAAATAACGAAATTATTTCTCAAAGAATCTTTAGTTACCAGATACCTTTAGATCAAAAAAAAAATTCCAATATGAAATTAAAATGGAAGCTCGATTTTACGATATGGCAGGGGGATAGCAGTTTAATCGGGATATCGTTGTAAACAAACTCCCGATTTAACAATTTGGCGGGAAAGCAACCAAGTGCAATGAAACGTCTGTTCCAGGCTGAAAGATAGCCCGCCACCGCCCCTTTTTCCTAGATCACGCTTTTATATTTTTGCCGGTGCCTTACGCTTTTTTGCCTTATTTTTGCCGGTGCCACCCCTACTATCGAGAGCCTGGAACAGGCTACTGCACGCTGTGCCTGGCAAACGGTCTGGAAAGCGGGAGGAAGTGATCGTCGGTCTATTCATGAAGAATGGAGGGAGGATTTCCGTCACAGCTGTTGGAAAACAAGAAAAAAAATCAAGGAATTGGCCAAGAAATCCCCGCGACGTATACTTTTCAGCATAAAAAGCCGTCAAAGTTGAACAAGCTAAGTGAACTACAGTCGACTCCAGCTCGAACCCTCGCTAACTCGAACCTTATACTACCTCGAACCAGAATCCATTTCCACTGAATTTCATTTACTGTAATTTATCCTCGGTAACTCGAACCCTCGATAACTCGAAACTCCCGCTAACTCGAAGTAATTTTTTTTTCCCTTCAGATCACTTTCATGCAATTTTACCCTCGATAACTCGAAGGGATGAATATTGGCTGAAAAATAAGGTTTTCAGTTAAGATTTCAACCGCGGAAGAAAACCCGTTGACACCTGTTGACACTTAATTAGATGCTCTTTTTCAGGGAGACTTAAGGTGAGTGGAATAAAGCCCTTCTTAGACTGCCACGCCCGAAAAAGAAAAAAAAACTATTGGTTGTTACTATACTGCTGATTTCTATTTCGAAGTCACCCAAAACGGAATACCCTCAGTGAACATTATTCATTTAGAAATTAGATTTTTTCGTTAAAAAAGGTTCATTCATACCATTGAATAAACAGCAATTATTGGATGAGGCAGAGTTATGCGGATCACCGGGAGGGTGTTATTCGCTAAACCCAAAAGCCAAATATACAGCTGAGCCAGAGGATACCGTAAAATTCCGAAATAAGCCCCTCCATGTATAAGCCCCTCCAAATATAAGCCCCCCAAACTCGTAACCCAAAAAACCCTCCGTTAAATCGCCCCTCCATATATAAGCCCCCCGGGAAGCTTGTACTTGGAAATTTCCTTCCAACTATAAGGCTAGCCCAATCGATTTTGAAACACAAATTTCCCTCCATAGATGAGCCCCTCCAAAAATAAGCCCCTCAAAAAGGCCTTTGAAAACTATAAGCCCCGTGGCTTATTTTCGGAATTTTACGGTATATCAATTGAGCTTACAATAGTTAGCAAATACCATCATGGTTGCCGTTTACAAAAAGCAATCCCTTAGCTTCAATCATCAGTTCCACTTGCAGACCGTTTATTGTGCTTTCCAAGATTCAGATTACGTGAGTATTTTACTAGAAAGTCCTTGCTGCTCAGTCTTCCAGTCCCGAAAACAAATTTAATCATTACTTTTTCTTTCCTCTACTTCCCTTCTTTTCTCAGGGGCGTAGCCAGCGCACAGCCCTGTAGGCCCGGGCCTTTAAATTTTTGGTTTGATCACTCTACGGCTTGTAACAAATTATGCGTTGTTGGAGTCAGCTGAAAAAGCACAAGAGCTCAAATTGTTGGTGAGGTCAGTGCGTACTGGTCATGCGTACAATTTTCAGGATATGTGGAAATGAAAGTCAGCCAGGCCTACAACTAGCCAAAAAGCTGGCAACGTCCCTGAATGTCAGGCTTGTACGTACGATTCAAATTAAATAACAGATAGTTTAGCCTTATTCAGGTCATATGGCTGTATTCATTGGACACCTTTTCGAAAATACGAACAGACCTGATTTTTCAATAGGTACCTTCGCGACGGCTTCATGTGATTTTTAGGCTTCTCGGGCTATTAAAAAAAAACCTCGTTTTTGACCTTTTTTTAAAATCAAACGGTTCAATTTTATGTGTGCTATGTTTCACGAAAAATTCAGCAAGATAGTAGTTAGCCCTACTGATGGTCTGTTATAATTGACGCAGCAATTTGAATGCTTGAAAAATCTGCCGTCTCATGACCGGATAGCATAATACTTGCAGACACAGAAAAACTAGTAGTAAACTACTTTAAATACGGGGAAGAGGCAGATTTTTGTGATTTGCAAACGATGATTAAATTGCAAAAGACATTCTTCAGTCGAAAAAGTTCTTACCATCCCTTTAGCAATCTGCCACGCATAACATAGAACTTCTTTCCCAGAAATGTCTTCTTCATCATCTTCCTTGCCCTCACAGTTGCCTTCTTCTTTCTCGATGGTAATCTTTTCTTCGACGTTTCTTAAAGGCTCAGCGGGAGTAAGCTCTTTTTCTTTGGAGAAATGGGCAATACTGATCGAAGGTAACACCATCACCGACGTAACCGACTCCTTTCGCCCTTCATTTTGTTGAAATGACGTGTTGACATCGTCACTTTCTTCGTCCTCCTTGTCATCTTCGTAACCCTGGTTTAAGCAAGAAGGTTCCATCTCACGTCGAGGAGCATCGTTGATTGGAATTCCTCTTTCAACGTCGTCCAGGTCGATTTTAATTTCCTTCGCCCCGTTGGAATGCCAACCACCGTCTTTTCCACTTTCTTCATTCTTTTTTCCCCTGTTCTCCTCTTTCAGGTTTTCATCCAGGACATCTTTTGTTTGCAGGTTCTTGGACACCAATTTCGGCCTCTCAGGAACAGGAGGCTTGAGCCTTTCAACGACATCACTTTGGCGACTCGTTTTCATTGTAAGCTGCAAAAAAATATTGAAATGAATTCCGTCTGATCATGAAACGGTTTTGTCAGCAGAAACAATTTCAACACTATCAGTTGGTTAGCCGAAATATTTTTACCCATTTAAAAGGAATCCATGTGAATTGAAAGATTACTTAACCGACGTTAAACTAAAAATCCAGCCTGGAATACCTTATGGGCCAACTTTCTTTAAATCGTCCACGGAAAATTCAAATGGATTAAACTGCAATAGAAACAAAGCTTTTCTTCTGCTTTGTTACAATTTTCTATGACATTTTAAGATACACAGTCCCAAAAACGAGACGTGTGCTTCTTGATATTAGGTTTGACCTAATGCCACTTGTGACGTCATATCTCGTACAGGGCTTACGGGAAGGACAATCAATGTCTCCACCAAAATATTTTGATGTTTTTTTTAAAGACACTTTTCTACTACGTCGGTCGGAGGGTAAAAAGAAAAACTCTGATGTAATCAACTGATTTGAATAACTCATCTTGCCACCAATGAAAGACCGTGGATCGAAAAGCTGACGGGCATTTTGAATGGAAGCCCTTTGTCAGCTCGAATCAAGAACGGTTTATCAAATGTCGGAGCTCAATTACGGTGAATACATGGGAAAATGTTAAAAAAATAAGTAAATTACCAGAATGAAACGCGTTCGTTGAAGTAAACTATTCTTGTCTTGTTACCATGCTCAAACAATAGCGTAGCTCCACTATTAGTAATCCTGTGATTCATTCTGACCAGAAAAGGTTAACGCCCACCTGGGGTACTCTAAAAAATTTCGAATAGTTGAGACAAGCGAAAATCAATATCCTATTCAAGACCCAAACGTGGAAAATGAGGCCCAGTTTAAGAAAAACAAAACCTAAGAATTAATGGAAACAGAAAAAAACTTCCTTAAATCGCGCTCCTAATATAATCAGTTCAAGGGTAAAGTTCAGTTCTAACAGATCTATGATTTGTTTCTCGTGTGTTAGGCATTAACGAATGTGAATTTTACCTGATAGAATAACGGTACCCTATCGGCAACACTGCGCCAATAAGGGCAACAAGGATACCATATTTAAGGATGGAGATCCTCATCCTATCGGGTGGGATTACCCCCTGGGGGAAACGCTCAAAACTTCAAGTTTTTTTTCTTTTCTCACAACCTACCCCTCCCCAAAGACAACATCAACACTACCTTCTCACTTAGGTAAAATGTGGCTTAGGGGAGGCATAGGTGGGCAGTTTCCCGGAAACCTTAACTGATCCTACCGGGGCAAGCTTAACTTTACTGACTCTATGAACACATATTTTTGTGTATTTACCGATCTTTGTTTAACGAATACATGAATAGCATCTAAACAGTCTGGCTGTATAAACCGCGTTTGGGAAAATACAAATGTCCGGTTGCATTTATACCTACATTTTTAAGTGAACCTCTGTCTTTGAGAACTTGAATTATAGGTAACATGTACAAATTCTCATATCAAGTTGGTTAGCATCTTGTTATTTTTAACGAAGACGATGGTTCTTAGACGTGTGATGAGATAGAGGATTTTCCTTCTGCCTTAAAGCTCCTTAAGAGACCACACAATGTAAGAAAAAAACACACGCAGCAGGATCATCATTAGAAAATTAAAGTGCAGCACAGAATACTAATGACGTCAGAGTGACTACTTTGCAATGTTTTTATGAAATCTGCCATTTTTGTTTTTTTTTTTATGACAAAAGTCAGAGAAACTTGACATTTTAATGGCAAAAAGACAAACAGAAATAAGGAATTTGTTTGTCTGAGTTTGAGTTCTATAAATAATACCTGTGCGCAGCACTATTGCGAATGGAGAGCAGGTATTTTTTAAACAAAGAGCAAAAAAGAGGGCAGCAAATTTTTATTGACACAGCTGATAAAGTAATGATACCTGTTGCCTTTTGTTTCTGAGCCACTGAAGAAGATCTCCGTTTGGAACATATTCCATGATTAACATGATGGGATGTGATTGGATCCAGTACCCGAGCATGCTCACAATATTACGGTGTGTTCCGACTTCCTTCATCAGCTCAATTTCTCGAACTAACTGCCGTTTTTCCTCCTCCGTGGCATTTTCTGAAGAAAAGGAAAGACATTGAAAACAAATCCAGTAACCGTGACCTACGTAAATGCTACACGATATCAGTTAGTACTAAACAACTAAAACCAGATGTAAAGATAAAAAGAACTAATTAAAATGAAAGTACACTTAACCTATGAAAATAAAACACAGTCAATGGCTCAGGTCCTAATTTCTGCTTGAGAAAAAATCTATTTGTTAAATAATTGGTTCCCTAAGTTAAGTGACGTAGATAAAACAAAGTCTCAAAGAAAAACCGTTAGTTCTCTTTATCTAGCGATCACCAAGCACGACATGTAACATGATGTAATGCTGGATGATCTTTTAGTCCGGAAACTTGTTTCTTTAATTCTAGACGCCACGTTTTGTGTTCTTTAATTGCTTCCCTATTCTCGACCCAGGGGCTCTTCATCTCCAATAATATGACTTTCCTTGAGTTCCTTGAGTGTACATTAATTTTGTAATCCTAACGTATCTATCCAATTGGCTCACTTCCACTGACTCTGCATAGACAGGGACATCCTAGTATGCTTTTGTAGATGGGTCTCATGAAGGGTTTTCGGCTCACTGTTGTCATCATCATTATCATCATCAAGCTCCAAGGCGCTTTACAATAAATGTTTTCAACTTAAACAACTAGAAAGCAGTAACTCGTAACATTAAAAAATAAAAAAAAAATTGTTAAACAAAACTACGAAATAAAAATAACGCTTAAAGGTTTTTAAAGCTTTTACTAAGATTGCTCTCAGAGGAACGAATATTCAAACTCCATTTTACATTCTATATGCTATGGAGAATCATTGCAAAGTTTAGGGACAAAACGAAAAAAGCATTATCGCCTGATAAAATTTTAGCCTTGATCTGAGTGTCATTAATTAACAAGTTCATGGTTGATGATCGTGAACTCCTAACAGTTTTGTAAGTTTGAAACAAATGATGAATATGGAAGGGACATAAATAATTTAAAATTCCGCTACTCGTGCTCCAAGGGAAGCCAAATGAATGTAGTTCTCTAGTAAGTAAAGCAATAACCTGGTCATATTTGCAACCACATACGATCAGATAAAGTTCTCAAGTGATGACTGAAACATGTAAATAACGTATTTCGAAAGATTACATAAGAGAACTAGGGGCACCCAACGAGGATATAGTTCAAAACCATTTAAACATAGCATTGTTAAGCGTATTTAGTATTTAAACAGTAGATATAGGCATATTTTTATCTCTTAAAAATATTTCATCTGTCCCGATTTCCTAGCTGAGAGCCTTGACTAGTGTTCCGAAAATTATAGGGATCAAAACTTACCTTTTCGAAAATTTAAACCAGGAAAAAGGTTCTCGAAAATTCTAGGTGACCTTTTTAGGGAAAAATGCGTTAAAAATGGGCAATTATACCATTCTTTAAAAGTTGGAAAATCCTAGGAGAGGCAGGCAAGCAAGAAATTTTACAACAAATGTTCCGAAAATTCTAGATCTCAAATCATCTTCCGAACAGATAATTTCCGAATATTGACGTTAATAAGTGCCCCTGAGAGAACGACCAATCTACACATTACGAAGGCATGCACTAACATTTTGAATTGGTTTAAAAAGATTAATCTGTTATCATGTCACAGCCCTGAGAAGTGATCATGCAGCCTGCTCTGTTTTGCATTTTTTATATCTGTGTGGTTTTGTTAAAAGGTGTCCGCTCGGTTTTCGCTTGAACACGGGCATCGATTTAAGTGCTATATTCTTTTTAGTACATTTAATGTGACATAATCTCGAATTTGTCTAAGACCACTTATAACACGACTAACCTTGGAGCACACCTTATCAACGTTCTGATCTCACTGAAGGTTTTTATGTCTACAGTAATTTATTCATTGCAAATGGTGTGGTGAATTGCAAACATTCAGGGAGGTCATTAATTAATATAAGTAGAAAACAAAATTTAAGGATTTAAAATGGGCCTCTCAGGTACATCACACTGTTACCAACTGGGGCATTGACATGCTGTTTTCCACGATATAATGTTTGCCATCTATTGGATTAAATAATTCAAACCTGTTACAAGAGAGGCTCTCTTGCCTGTTATTAATAAGAATCACTCCCGTGAATAGCGTTTGCTGAAAGAGTAAGTTATCTTTTTGCCATACTCTGCATTCACGCACCTGGTAGAACTTTTGTAGCAACAATACGTCCCTCATGCGAATCCAAACTATGATCCTTGGGTTTCGAGGATGTATTCTTTTCAGGTAGCCCCCTCATCACGCTCTTATAAACTCTTCCAAAAGCGCCTCGTCCCAGTTCCTCCATGATAGTAACCCGCTCGTGTGGGACTTCCAGCAACATAAACTCAGCAATGTCAGACTCACTGGATCAAAGTGCAAATTAAATGTCAATGAAATTTCTCGTAATTAATCATGGGCTTGTGGTAGCGCTTAAATCAGGGACGGCTTCCTAGCTGATAAAATTTAGTCAAAAGTTACACTGCCTTGGCCTGTAAGAAAGGTCAGTTGTGGCTTGGGAGTGAGTACGACACCAGATAGACATGCCCAGACACTTTATCATGGAACAATTCAGCAACAAAGAATAATATTCTAAATTTGAGTGATATTATCATTTGAATGAAATACCGTTTATCATTCCTCTTTGCTCTCTTACGGCAGACAATTATCCCCACCACCACAGCAGAGAGAGCCACGGAAACTCCCAGCATTATCCAGGCAATCTTTGCAGTATCATTTTTGGCGATAGGGGAGCCTCCTGTAGGATCATTAGCAATCGTTAATGCTAAGAACTGTAACAGTTACACACATCATTGAAAAAGTAGCTTTAATATTTAAGTAGCACCCGGGGCGACTTATTTAAGAGATGGGAGCTCTTCTTTGAAAGGGATCACTTCGTTCTTCAGAATTTGAAAGCCTGGAAAATTACATGGTATATGACGATGAACCCTTGGCTGTTGAAGAATGGTTAAAAAAGTAAGAAGAAGTTAAAGAAAATGATAAGCTAGAGCGTGTACTACGGGTTTAAGAGAACTACGGGTCAGTTCAGTTGCTGAGTGCCGGCAGATCATTTCGTACGATCGCGTGAAGAAGTAAGCTTATGTAAATAATCGACTAGCTGCTTGTTTGGCGGCATGATTGCTATGATGTATGAGGAGAGTTGTTAGCTTTCGCTATAAAAAAGCGGTATTTTTGGATGATTCTAGTTACCCTGAATGTAACGTACGTATATTCAGGATTAGGGCGCCTGTTTAGGATTCGTTCGATTAACCTTATTCTGGAATACAAATATATACGAATGGCGTATAATTTTATGTTTTTTTATTGTTCTTATCATTCCTATTATATTTCGGAGAGCGTAAATCAGAATAATTACAATAACAAGAGTAATGGCAGACGTTTTCGGTGAAGCGAAAAGGCAACGAGAAGGGCAAAAACTTGAACGCATTTGGTTTGTCAGCGGTATTAGCAGAACAACAACTTTGCACGTGCAACACTCATTTTTATACAGTTCTCCGGAATGTTACTAAAACAGTGAACGAGCACGGGGAACAGGAAAATGAAAAATGGGAACAAAACCTAACTTCAACCCTAGCCCACTCCGTAAATTCATTTCCAATTCTCTGTTTGTCCCCCACTTTTCATTTTCCCTTTCCCCTTAGCTTGCTCTCGTTCTCTGCCTTCCTTTCTCCGTTTTAGTAACGTTCCGGTTCTTCGCCGTCATTATACGACCACGGCGTGAGACTGCCAAGTTTTACGTTTATGTGGATTTGAACACATGAGAGCGATTTTCTTTTCCAAGCTGATATACAATTCTTTAGAATTTAACCCTTATGAATATCGGCCAACATTTCGCAACTTAAACGAAATGGACCCGAAGTAAAAGCGATAAAGTTTGAAAAAGCGTGAGTTCGGTTTTTAAGTGACGTTTTCGCCGCTGTCGCCGTCGTAGCTGCTGAAGCTCCCGGGGCTCTCCTCATGAAAAGGTTTACTAGAGCAGATGAAAGACGTATTTCCTTACACGAGGAAATTAAATCAAAGAAGCTATTTCTCAGTCACCATATCCTCTAATTTTGAGCAGCTTCCAGAACTTTCCAAATTAAGTTATTTTTCCAGGAAAAAGGCAAATGATAATCATATGACAATTTTCGTCCGTCAAATCTTTCTTTAGAATTTCCTCTACAAAGGAAAAAATAAACAAAAAAAACAAAACGAAACGAAACGTAACAAAATGAACCAAAAAAACAATAATTTCTCCTGTCAACAATGTGAATTATTGCATTGACGTCATCTCTGTAATATCTTTGAAAACAGAACGATCGTTGAACGATCGAGATGGCCATGAAAAATGTAAACATGACAGGCTATTTGAAGGAGAACGATCGCTAAAAGTATGAAAATTACAGATTAGCTTCCCATAAGCGGAGGCTTATCTGTTCATTTTTGTTGCTGTTCTTGAAACATCTAAAGACTTTCATGTGGTAAATTCCGTCGTCGTTTGTTTTACTGTCTACGTGGCTTGCTTCTGAGGGAGCAGAAGCGGGTGCCAGCTTCTCTAGAAGTGTACAGTTTATGGGCGTTCGCAGAGGTTTGAGTGATTATGGTTTAGTGTCTATACCAAATCCCTATCAGCTATTGGACATACATAAGGTAATGTCGCACCTTCAGAGTGGGTTTTAAATTTCCAAGAAACTGACCAGTCGCTTTGAACTTCTCCAAACCAGGAAGACACTCCAATTTCATACCCCTTGTCGCATTCCAGAGGTAAAAGACGAAAGGTGGTAGCAGGAACCGTTAATTCTCCCCATTCAGCTTCATTGCCTAGTGGCTTTATCTCCCTATACCGTACAGTGCTCTTCGTTATGGTGCATATTTCTTTTCTACTCCACGTTACATTGACTTTGCAACCATGTATTTCCGACTCTTTGTTGTTTATCACGGGTGTAATTGGTTTGCCTTTAAATAATGAGAATAATACTATGATTATTTAGTGATTTCCACCGATTTTTTTGCAGTGATAGATGAATGTAAAAAGGTACACTACGAAACCTACAAAACTATCTAACAACTTATTAAACTCGAACAATTAACAACCAGCTCACCGACGCCATCTTAAATAACTGATATAATTATGCGCATGCGTTGAGTCCTTTAAAAAGAGTTCTTGGTTAATTCCTGCGAGACCGAGGTCCCTTGAATGTGACAATAAGCACACAAAAAATTGATTTTGTTACTTAAATTTGCCTGTAATTAATTTTTGAAACTTGACAGTGGGCGCTTATTCGAGGAGGGCGTTTACTCGAAGCTAGGCCCTTACTAAATTTTCACCATTTTCAGCAAGTTTAGTATGTTTATTTTGGAACAAAACAATAAATGGCAATGAAGATGTAACAAAGCCAGGTTTCTGTAAAATACTCTGAAGAAAACTCCTTCGGGGAAGTCTCTTATTAGTAATTATTCAATTTCAATTTCAGTTTCAATCTCATTGTCACTCAAGTCAGTAAGTGATTTCTCTGGTGCTGCCTCCTCGATGTCCGACGTCGTAACGTCGGCAAATGGCAAAATAAAAATAGTGTCCCCAATTAGTACTTTCGTACTAAAGATATCAACACTCAAATAATTAAGTGCATTTTTTTAGATACTACTCTTGCCTTTGATTAAGTCACCAATCTGCTTCACGGAAAAAGCTTTTCCAGTCACGTAAAGATCCATGACTGCTCCAACAAACACCCCATTTGCCATTGGCATCCGGACTAAACCCGGATCATTCCCTATGATGTACTCTGGCCCTATGATGTACTCTGGCTGATAACGGCCTAACGATGAGAAGAAATACTCATTCCATTGGTCTATCAGTGCCTCCTCCGTACCATTAACGAACACCTTGATCTTATGCAGCTGACAGGTTACTGCTACGTGATTCCAGTAATTGATTTGTAAGTGGAAAGTGTTGTGTATCGATAGAATGAGTCGGGAATTCTTGACCGTCACGTAAAATAGTTTTCCACCCTTTGACCAAAGCGCCATTATAGGCCCGTGAACACCAATATACTTTACCCAAAATGCAATTGTAAAGTCACAGGTTGTTATGTTAATGTTAGGGACAGTAGCATAGGAACCATTCTGACTGAAAATGGCCGCTTTGCTTCCGGGACACCAGCCTTCAGTATGGTTAACGGTACCAAAATACCTGTAAGATAACAAAAACCAATGAATAGAATCTAGCTGTGAATAAAAGAATTACCTGTCATAGGAACATGCAAGGCACTATTTTACCCTCGAATCCTAAGTTATGAGACAAAAATTAACCAGTCATCGCTATGAGTGTAATGCCACCTGCAGCAGTCAGAAATGCAAATGCATAAGTTTTGTGGCGATGCTGAAACCTGGATGTCATCATGAAAGAGACAATGGTGAATCTCAAGATTTATTTAAGAGTTAGAGAGAACTAAGAAGGGAAGTCGTTGTCGTATAAAATCTTTTGAAATACGAAAGTAGGGGTAAGGCATAAAAAGCCAAGCCTCGGCCCCCCCCCCCCCCCCTCGCCTCACCCCAACATTGAACAAACTAGAGACATATAACCCCACTAACCTCACATCTGGATCACTGCCATCTAGAAACCAGCGGCGGTATACGGGTTTTCCTAACAAAACGTACAAGTTCATTCCAACAGTAAAAATATATGGCGATATCAAACAAACCTGTAATAATAAGCTTCTCTGATTTCATTATACTTCGGTCTTCCGTTTCCGTTTATAATGTTTAGAACCATAAGCATTTTACGTAAACTTAGGACTCTTTAACTGAGACCGAAAAAAGGCATGTATACGCTCAACAGCAAAGCTTTGAGATGAAATATTTCTTAGTTAATTTAGTTCGTCTGAACTTTGTTTTTGCTTGTATGTTATTTATTGTTTTCCCAAAGGATCCCCACAATGCATAGGAACGACGTGTGTCATTAATTCCTTATTTTCTATCTTGGGCCAGTTCTATGAAGTCACGCAGAAGCCAAAGCATCAAGCTTAAAGGTTTCTTCAATAGGAAATATAATGAATCAGACCTAAAGAATTCACGTTGTTATATTCATACTACTCGTGCTGGCGATTTTAAGGGGGACATTATATTGGCTGGGCCGCCAGCTCGGAATAGTGTTAACAGGAACAGCTTCACCCAAGGCCTTAACAAGCAATTTACCTGGCCAACTTATCAAGAAGGTACGCAATTCTTTAAACACAAGAAACCAGTTTTTAAGGTCCAGTGGTCACGAAACGCCACAGTAAATGTAAATTCAACATCTTTAACAGCCTACGAATGACGTTTTTATTGAAGATGTAAGTACTGTATACTGTATATTGAGTAAGGAGTGGTGGGGTTAGGGCAGCTGTTTAGGATTCTTCGATCAACCTTATTCTGGGATACGAATACGTAGAATCGCGTGTAATCTTTTATTACAATTTTTTTTTTCATTATTTCTCTTAATGCTTCGGGGAGCATAAAACGGAATAATTACAACAACAAGAAAAATGGCTGACGTTTCTCGGTTACGCAAAAAAAGCAACGAGAGGGGCAAAGAAGCAGAAGGTTTTTATATAATAAGAAATGGTAAACGTGCAGCATGCAACCATAGAGTTATGGATGCACGCGGGAGGTTGCTAAGCACGAAAGAAGCGTAAGAGTCGCACGAGGACAACAGCTGCTAATAGTATTAGCAGCTGCTGATAGTATTAGCAGGACAACAGCTTTGCACGTGCAACACGTTTTTTTTTCTCGCTTGCGCAAGCAGCGAGACTCATAAGATGTGCAAGCCGTTTTTTTTCCTTCGTATTCAGGACACAAAAGGCAGATCATGTTCCCAGGCGTTCCTAGCGGAGACCTTGGAAACTGGAAATAAGAACGGTTGTGTAACCGAAGCCATGCATGTTTTGCGAAGAAAGCTTAGGAAAGAATAATGCGGCTTAGAGCTTTTCCGGAACGAGTAGGTCCACGAATTCTATTGCTTGAAAGCGTTGATTACTTTAGAAAAAGTGAACACTTCAATGGTCGAAAAAAAAGAAAAATTAATTAGCAAAACTTTGATGGTGAGGCTAACTGGTTTGGGTGTTCAACCTCCTCCCCAGGGCTTTTCTCTCAAAAAATGGGTGGGGCGGGAAAAGGCCCTGGCATCGGCTGGTCACGTGTACAGCCTAAATATTCCTGAGAAGCTAATTTATATGCAACCCACTGGTTTTTCACTGACAGAAGGGAGTAACAATGGAAAATAATAACATCGCGAACTGTGTCAATTTTTTTCTGTGTCAAATGTCAATTTTCCGCGTGTGTGCGATTCAAAAGCTTAAGATCCATTTAACTGCGCATTATTCAAATACTAGAAGTTTATGTAAGGGTGTACCGGCTCTACGTTGTCACGTACAAAATATGCCAAATGCTTCAGAGTTGAGACAAGCTGTTATCAACTAGTACTTCATCTCAACTTCATCGTGACTGTGGAATTACTGTACGATCAAGCGGAAAGTGATTTTGTCCAATGTCAAACAAAAATGCGGGCCTTTACCTCCAAGATCTACAGTGAATTTAAAAAAGTTGAACTTAATTGAAATAAAATTGTTCATCAAAATGCTTTATGGAGTCTGGTCTTCTCTACAACCGGACCATGAAACAAACAAATCTCCGCGCCGGATGCAAGTCAGCCCTCCAGCCAGGGACGATAACAGGTCGCCGGTGTGAAACATTTGAAGACCTCTTATATATTTTCTCTTTCGAGGATAAGTACAAAGGATTTTCCTCATATTATAAGGGAAGATTGATTGATCGATTGGAATCAACTAGAGCTCTCATCGATTTTAAATGGACCCAAGTCTTTCCTTGTTGCCAGTCGTTTGTTCGCAGAGGTCAATGAATTTTTTTAAAATACGGGTCATACAACGAGTGTCGCTATGATATGGCCGAGAGTTAAGGTGAATAGAGCTAGGCTCTGTACGGCGGCCCACTTCGCAGGAAATGAAATAAAATGTGAGAAGAGTCGAGAAAGCGGACTTTCCAAAAGTACAACCTTTATGCATGTACGATAGCTTGTTTGTCATTTTTACCGCTCTATAAGCAGAAGTTTTACAAATGTTACTCGCTTTCCCCTTCATAGAAATCGGAGGAAAGCAAAAAATTACCATAGCCAGTATCTGTGACAAAAAGGAAATCTTGTAAAACTTTTCGTTTATCGTCAAGAAATATATAAAAGGTCGCCCAAGATCGCGCGCTGTGAGGTTACGCATAATTTTAGCTTTTTACATAGCGCTAATTTATTACACCCAGGATTTTAGGGTGTACGAGGGGACACGTGACCAGCCGATGCCAGGGCCTTTTCCCGCCCCACCCATTTTTTGAGGGATGAGGATGTTGGGTGTTGTAAACTTTCATTGTATGCAAATGAGTCTTTTGGTGAGCATGCGGTTTATTTTTGGCTGTTTGGCAATGATGTAATTTTCCCCGAATCAAGGCCCTTGATTTTGGTGTAATTTATACACGCGTATAGCCTGCCACCGGCAACGTATTTCCGGTCGTCGCTAAATCTTGTTTCGTGCAGAATTAATCGCCTCCTAGACTGTGAGCAGTCTCGTATTTTTATTTTGAGTCATAGTAGGTCGAGAGCATAATTTTACTTTTTTGCCCGCCGAGCGTGGCCCTTAGGAAAGAAAGACCATCGCTTGCGGTCTAATCGCCTCCTCATTTGTTATCTTATCTCCAAGCAAGCGAGACTCAACGCTTCTGAGAGCAACGCTCCATAACAAAGCTGTGATATGAAATATCTCTTAGGGCCTGCTTACATGGAGATGGGGGATCCCAGATAGGTGAGGTAACATGCGGCGGGTCACCCCACCTATCATGTAAACGGGATCAAATTAAAATGAGAGATTATGTGGACAGGCGGGTTACCCACCAAAGCGGGTTACCTCACGTACCTGGGGTCCCCCACCTCCATGTAAACAGGCCCTTACTTCGTCTGAACTTTATTTTTGTGTGTTTGTTATTGTTTGTTGTTTCCCCAAAGGGTCTCCACAATGCATAGGAACAACGTGTGTCATGAATTCCTTCTTTTCTATCTTGGGCATTCTATGAAGTCACGCCGAAGTCAAAGTATCAGAATTAAAGGTTTCTTCAATAGGTTTTTTCAGCGGTCAAGAAACGCCATGACGGTAAATGTAAATATTAATATTAGCAGTAAAGTAGTAAAGGCCGCCAAAAGTGATAAATTAAGCAAGGATTTGTTTGTATTTTTTCCGAATTCCATAAAAGAAGGATGTTACCAAAAAAAAGGTACCTTTGCAGCCATATAGTTCCACCCTCATTGATATGTGGCTATGCCAAGCTGTTGGTTGAAAACGTGTGTAGCGTGCTACAATCGGTTCATTGAGTTCGTTATAAACGGTAGTATTCTCGTCTGTGTTGCCAACAAACACCTGAAGCACGCCAAAAAAACAAAAAAAAACAAAACAAAAACAGTAGTTAGATGGACAATTAGTAGCGGTTTTGGCTCCATTTGACTGCCATTCACAATCGGAGGGTGACATTTTGTGTCGCTAGGCACTGAATTTCATAACACCCTTGGTCCCTGCACACCTAGACGTAAGCTCTAATACGGATGAAAGCTGTTGGATTGTTTTTAAAACAAACACTATGAACATGAAATTTGAGTATCTGGCCGGCAGAGGTTTTGGGGAACAAGAGACCTTGACCATTTACTTCTAGAAAACACTGAAGAGGTATCCTGAAATGGCGTCTAGGGAACAGGTCAACGGCTGAGTCTTTCCAGTAACAGGGGGACATTGATTTTCTAGTTTAAAATAATATCATTTTAATAAGCTTTTGCTTTTAGACTTCTATTGTTCCACAATTTTGCTGCTTCTCTGGTCTTTTGCAGTTGGTTGTTACTTGGTTGCGAGTAGACTGGGGCCTGAAGTCGTTTTCTTCCTTCCAAAGAACTGCTGACTATTTTTTCTTTACGCTTTGCCCGGATACCTTTTCAGGTTCCGCAACCGGTTAGGCCTGACCCCCATTACAACTCTATGTGCTTGAAACTTCAGAAAGCTGACAACATTGAATTTTCGGGAACATGTTAATTAAAATTACGTTTAGAAAACAGAGTGAAATTCAAAATTATTTTGGGGAACTGTACACTACCGCAAATGAGCCCCGACCACAACACCCCTAAAGCAAAAGGATGGCTAAAATGGACCACAAATTTTCCTTACCCCAAATGATCCCTATCATCTTGTTTGCTTAATGCTGGAAACTTTTTTCAGCCCCACTCATCCCGACTGACTCCTCAGAGGGAGTTGAATGAGGAGATTAAGTATGGTGACGAAATGACGAAGATCAAAGTACACTTCACCAATGAAGGGGTAACCGATGCACTATCCTGAATTTCATCCGATTACTTCGAGTCGTTATTACTCCCTCAGTAACGTCTAAAACGACTGGCCGTTAATACCGTCCAGTGACGTCACTGCTCCATTGTTGTAATTCAGGCAAGAAATGTCTACATGATACAGAACAGCTGACAGAATTGCTTTACTTTTTTCGATGGTAATTCATATTTAACGTACAAACTATCAACTGCATGCAGTACTCTGAACCAGTTGTAATTCAAACTCGGTCGCAATCACGCCATGAAATATATACACACACGGAACACTTAGTTAAAAAACACAACAATTTCCTTTAATTGAAAAGAAGCTATTTGGTCCTTAACGAATAAAAAAAGAAAACAAGGAAACAAGAAAGAAAAGCTAACAGAATCATTACACTTGACGGTGAAAATAGCAAGAAGGTCGAATGACAACATGACATTGGTCTCAGAAACTTCGCATAAACAAAATCACTGCCGAAACTACAAAGCGGTTCTAAATGAAAAACTTACCGACTTTCCGCAATGATTCTTCATTCGCAGTTCAATCTAGCAATTCAGTTTCGAAGACAAGCCATGGCAATTTTGCTGTTTACGGGCGCGATCCATTCAACCGAAATGGATCGGTTTGGTCCAACCGGAAAAGTTTTGAAATTAATGGTCCACCTTTTGAGGTGGACCACTTTTCCCGGTCGGACCGATCGGAATTTTGGTTGAATGAATTGCGCACTACACGGATAAATATTATCTAAATGTTTGAACTCCACGCAAGCGTTCCACCAATGCGATCCCCTGAATATCCGGATTAAGCGATAATCTCGCTAAAATTTCTCATAATTGTGCATAAATTATGCGAATGTTTAGACAATCAATCAATCAAAATCACTACCCGGTTTTCGGGTAGCATAGTGACGTCACTGGACAGCATAAAAACGGCTGGTCGATTCAGACGTTGCTAAGAAGAGAAAACGACTCGAAGCAATCGGATGAAATTCAGGCTACCGATGCATAAGATGTCAAAACTTACAAGATGATTACTTTGATAATAACTTTTTTGGGTTTAAGGGTTACATTCAGTGAAACAGATTACTGAACTTTATTTTGTTTCCTTGCCGGGTCAGCTATTTCCTGTATCTACTAATTTTTTTTTTTTTTGACAAGCAACAATCACTTCATTAAAAAAGTAACAAACTCCGCACAATATAAATGTCTGCAGTGGCGGGTGTCTAACCTTGTGTTCACTTTGTCCCTGTTGTTTGTACAACTGGAAATTCAGACCGTCGTCGCTATATGTCAGCGTGTAATTTATTACCCACTGGCTCTGGAAATTAATTCCTTGCGTTGCCACCCATGTGACAGTGACAGGATTGGTACCTAAATCAATCTGTAGCCATTGGTCAGCGTCATTAGCGTAAGCTGACCACGATCCTTTCAAATTCAATCTACCCTGACTGGCTTCATGGTTGGCATCAAGCTGTGACGAAGCACTAATCTGCCCGTCAGAGATCGCTCTTTTCTCAACACCGAGAGCCTCCTGACATTCTAAATAACAAAAGAAAGTAAAAGGCAATACCACAAAGATTGAGTGCTTCTTGGAAATCCAATGGATGTGGTTCTGTCGATGGAAATTCCATAAAAGTCGCAATGCTTTATTTAAGAGTTATGACACAATACATTAAAATGTTTAAAAGGATCTTTCACTGAGGGCGAATGGGAAAGAAGAGGACTAATAGCCATTACGGTCGACCCTATTAATTAGTCGAACTTAATTAGTCGGACTCAATTCATTTTCAAAATGTACATGGTCTACAACATTTACCAGTGAAAATAAATTATTAATAGTAATTTATGCATTAGGTTCGGCACATGAAAAGTCAGTCGACGTTTGAAACGAAGTCGCTCCTATAAGTCGAAACTCCCATGTCCGCCGTTCGAATTAATTTATGGTTCGATCCAAATTAGATATATCGAACTTGATTGATTCAATAGTCAATCTTTTTCTTCTATTTAACTGAAGGATTTGGTTCGGTAATGAAAAGTTCCACGTTTGAACTGGGTCTGACAAAAAAAAAATCGTCGGGGCGACGTTTTCACTGTTCACAATGTTTTGGTATAGAGCGTTATACTTTTCACCTACGTGGCCAGCGGCTATGCAAATTGAAACAAAAGAAAGTTTTAACCTAAGAAAAAAATTCAACTCCCACAGGATTGGTTTGTCACTCCAACATGGCCGCCGTTTTATCGTGTTGGCAAACCAATATGGCGAACGTGACGTCTTGCAAATTGTTGTTTCGTGATACACAAATCACTAACAAGAGGGTCTGAATGGGGGGGGGGGGCACTTGTCGGTTGTCTGTTAAAAGTCAGTAATTTTGTCGTTAGTCGGTTAAAATTTTCGATCTTTGTCGGTAGTCGGTTAAACTTTTCGATTTTCGTCGGTTGTCGGAAAATCTCAGTTAATAAGTAAAAACGCTTGTTAAATTATTTATATATTTTATGTATTTCACCCCCTTTTCAAGACTTTGATCCCTAAGGAAAGAGTAAAACTTGCAAGAATGCATCATTTGATTGGCCTAAACCGTTCATTAACTCTTTTATGCAACATGATCGTTTATCTCATCATTGTTTGCCATTAAATGAATAATTAGTACTGATAAAATCACCCAAGCTTTTATTGTAAATGCGAACTTGGTTTCCCTGTCAACTACAGGGCACAAAAAAAGTAATTAATTAATTAATTACTGGACTCTAGCCTTTTGGATACTTAAACTATTTTTATTGAAAAACTGCAAGGGATGACAGGCTGCACATCTATCCCTCTCATGTTTTGGTTCTAACAAGCATGTCCTTTGCCATAATTTTCCTTTCTCAAAGAAATAGCACTTTAGGTGGTTCTTTAAAATTTTGGCAAGTTAGTGGTTGGTTTTGTATGAAATTCCACTTTTTCATTAAAGCTTCTTTTTTATAGACACTAAGGGCTGGTATTGTGTCACGAAAGACAATATTTCAATCTTTTTCTTCCTGGCTGTTTCTTTTTTTTCAGGAGCGCTGCCTTCCTTTCTGTGAGTTTTACTTCTAATAGCAATTTTTCTTTCAAAATTGTGGCTAGCCTCTGTCCATCAAGCGTTTTGAAATCTGAAATACTTCCTCAGAGGAGTTTGTTCGTAGGATTCTCAAGGCTTCTCGTTTGTCAAACAGGCGCTTTAACAATTGGTGGGTGATAAGAGGTGAAAATGTATATACTGTAAGGTTTCCGTTTCAAGTGCGTCTTTTTGTCAAGGATAGCTTTTCCTCATTTTTTCGCTGAATGTTGTGCCTTGGTATACAACCGTTTCTGAAAAGAATGTCTCATTTTCAGATATTTCGGCCGTGAATTTCATAGGAGGGCATGTAAGTTTACTTGCTCCGCGAAAAAAGCTACGATGTCTGGTTTACTTATGTCCCATAGGGAAAAAATGTCATTTATGTAGCGTTTTCAAACAGTTGGCTTAAAGACGGTTTTGCTTAAACTTTGTGTTTCAATATGTGCCATGAAAATGTTGGAAAGGAAACTGCTGCCTTTGTGCTCATCGCGGTAACGTGGGTTTGTACTGATAGTTCTTTACATTAAACGGGAAAGAATTTTCTTTGAGGATTAATCTAAGCAAAAAACGTTCGGTTTTTCCACCTTTGACTTTTCAGTAAAATTTGTAAAGTCGGTAGCATCTTTAAGGAGTGACTTTGTGATTTTGATATTGGCTGTAGCAATTAATGTACCTGTATCAACAGCAAAAAAAGGAAATTCTTTCCCTTAGGCCATCTGATGAGTCATAAATTTAAAAAGGTTACTTCCTAGAGCTAACGGTTAGAATAAATACAAAATGCTCTTTTTTCTGGAAAAAAATATTGATAATATCAGCCCATGTCGGTAGTCGGTTAGTATTTTTCCTGTCGGTAGTCGGTAATTTTTTACTCATTTTGTCGGTAGTCAGTAATATTTTTCACCCTTTGTCGCTAGTCGGTTAACCCCATTCACACCCTCTAACAACCATGGTGGTACAAACTCAGTAAATCGACACTATCGCCTGATGAAGACCTGCAGTGTGCGGTCGAAACGTCGTGATCAATATCAAAGTGACAATCGTGGAACAAACGATAAAACTAAACCCTTTAATCCAATTATATTGTTCTAATTTCTAATCGTAGTTTTCATTCAGGCTGCACCTAAAACTCTCAGATATGTGTGGAGGGAAATGATAGATGTCTTCTTTCTCTGCCAATTTTAGCGCCTGCTGAAAAGGCCAAAGAAAAGCTATTTCTAAAAATTTGATAATGAGTTAACATGTTCCACGTCGATCCTATGGCCTGACTGCACCGGGCATTGTTACATATACTTGGATGCAGATCGGAAGTGCTTTGTTTCCCGAGATGAAAATAATTTCATATGCTTGTTTATTGGCCCCGCAGGGATTTCGCCCAGAAGCGAAATCCCGAGGAGGCACCCTAGTAACTCGCGCGTATATTAAGGACAGTACTTACAGTTCAAATATACAGTCAGTGTACTAGAAAAAATCTCGATTTGCTCGAACTGGGGCCGCGAGGAATCGGTAGGTAATTATGATGTTTCTATTGTTTGCGCCCGCAAGTACGAAATGGTTAGGATGACGTAAAGACAGAAAATCCCTAAGGGACCGCTCAGGTAGATTTTGTGACATTCATTGTGCAGTCATACTTCGATACTCTTTTGCGTTACGTAGTGACATTCTGTGGAGCAGTTGTTTTGAAAGTTATGGACCAAAAGACACTCGTTAAGCGCAGGGGAGGTTATAAGGTGCGTTTAACTGTGTATATATAAACACTTGGAGAGTTTGCCAGACACGAGTTCACAAATCTTTGCTTTATATTGGAAACCTTACCAGACACTCTATCTCTCTCTTTGACCGGAATAAGACAGCCCCAACCAAGCAAGACGAGTGAACAACGGCTAGCTTATCACTAGCAGATTGGTGGACATTTACAGAAAATCACCGACAATCAAATTCTGTGCTGACTTTTTCCCTGCTCACAGATGTCCTTCCGTTATAAAGTTTCAAATAAGACTAGAATCAGCAGAATGCGCTAGCGTGAATCGTTCAAACATCCTTTCAATTTCTAAGGCTTACGTTCCGGCAAATAAAATGAACTGAATGTAAAAAGGGAAAGAGAAAAAGCGAAAGATCCAACTTCTAATTAAATGTTTTCTTATGGTTTAGAATTAATTATTCTAATTATTCTAATGTTTTGACCAAAGCAGTGCAAATCAAGCTCAAACTGTGCATGGAACCTTGCGTTTCCTGTATTTATCTCATGTATGGAATATGTGTTCAAAGAGCTACACAACCAGCAAGAATACTATTGACCGACAATAAACAGAACGGGGGCAGCTGCAGTGTCAACTATTACTAGTTAATAAAGTACTGGGTATTACCCCTAGCTCGTTCCTCTTTGGACCAATGTTAACCGGTAACTTCGCGCTTCGAAGGGGCCGATCGCTTACTACGTCTCGGGGATGGCGGGGGTTGGTGGGGGGTGCAATTTTCTTAGAGGCTTGATTTTGGGGGGTCAATTATTTTGAAAATGCATAAAATGTGAGGGGGGTCGAAATATTAAGACACAGGACTGGCCTTCTATTTAAAAGTTGTCAGACTATATTATGATTAAAGCAAATCCACGTTTCCTTCAAAAGTAGACAAAAAAATTTGCTTCGGCGGTTCTTTGTCAACAACAAAATGTTACCCGTATAAAGCTTGGCTCAGAAACCAGCCATCAGCTATTTCTACTACCAGGAATGTAGCGTGCATGTACGCAGATATGCCTATGCATACAGCTGAAATCTGTATATAGATTTTTTTTATCTCCTGAAACCATTTTTATCATTAAATTGGGATAAATATTTCGCATTATATTGGCGTTTTGTGTTAGGATTTCCTTTATCCTTTTACTGGTTAAGTGGAGTGTAAAGGATAAAAATTTGAAGCCAAAGACCTTGGTTGAGCCTTTTGACCAAGCCAACTCTACTATTCTATCCCGGAGTATAATGTAGCTCTCATAACTTTGTTGACTTATCCTGTGCATACCTGAGCGAAGCTTTTGCGGTATGAAGAGACTACAAATTCCTCTACGAAGGACTTAGACAGACGAGAGATTGAGCTCTTATGCAATTCTGCATATACACAAGCACAAGGACGTAATTGATATTCTGTGGTGGATCCAGACCTTCAGATAAGGTGGGGGGGGGGGGGGGGGGGGGGGCGTCTCCCCCAATTTTTTTTTTCTGTCCTTCGGGCCTCATTTTGGTCGAAAGATAAGGTGGGGGGTACCGGGCCCCTCCCCTCGATCCGCCACTTATATTGATGGCATGATAACAGAGTTTGCCCGTCTGAAGGGTATACATCTCGCCCTTTGCTTGTAACGTCCTTGATGCCGTAATCAGTCTGTACCTTACCGATAACACTAGAGACAGATGGGTAAAATAAACAACTAATGAGTGCGTTTTCCCTCGTCTTTATTTACTGAAAATGTCCTGCAGAAAACGCAGCAGATGGCATTTCCGAGACCCCAAATTTAAAAATTTTCTGCAGGGGGAGCATGTCACCAGACTAACCCAGGTTTTGGG